GGCCCAACTAGAGCAGGCCCACTAAGGCCTAAGCCCATTTTATTGTAATACGAAAAACGTAACCAGCTTAAATATGCTACACGTCATCACCGAAAAAAATCATATACATTATACCTTGTTAATGACATATTTTTAACATATGTGCAGTTGACGAGCCTTTAGCTACCTTCGGATGGCTCGGGAGACCATGCTATTTAGCTTTATTAAACTTTATAAATACCTTTTACTATACGGGTTTAGTAAATGAGAGACTTTTGCTCCATTGATATAAATTCGAAGTTCGTATGAACTATTTACACACTTAAATTTTTCATTTCAATCAGATAGGGCAGTCGAATGGAGTCATCGTGACCATGACAGAGTTAGCTTAAAATGGGTACCATCATTAATACAACAGTAAATTGTCAGATGGCACTCATGACGTGTAGCGAACATAAAATCATTAAATGTATGCGGGGGGGGGGGAGTGGGGGGATCCGAGAGCGACCGCGCTAGTAGTTACCTGATTAGGCAGCCATTCATCTGTATGCATGACGAGCCATACCCGACTTGACTTCGTTCATCGAGCGCTATTCGACGGATCATTTTAAACTGAATGCTAAAAAAATAAGCCATAACGCTAATAGACCTCATTGATCGCCATCTGCTATAAGCCCAATCGTGCTCAGAAGATTTCCATAGGCGGCAAAACATAAGTTATAAGAAGATGCTCTGACATCTATCGAAGCAGGCCACCAGCTTTTTTCTTTTTTATTCGATATCTCAGCGAATCTAACCCGTAAACAAGGTAGCGGATATCAGAAAATCAATATAAGGAGTTCTTCTTCTCGAAAGTAAGTAGATTACTCCTTTGGATGAAGCTGACTGTGAAATATTTTTCTTGACCTCTTAGTCCAACGCCTAATAGTGGGCCTATACACGGGACCAGAAAGATTCGAAAGACCCAAATCTAACATCCAGCGATTGCGGTGAATCTCGACATAACTATTTACTTTAATAGTGCGCTACACGTAATGCATCTTCTTTATCTTGTTACAGGGTAGGTGGTGGGTTATGTAGGATCGCTTCGACTGTGACAGCGGAAACCGCTATAGCAAAGTGAACTTTGCGAGATTTCGGTAAGGTAAGCGAAAGGAATCAGAGATTTCAGAAAATCGATGCTCACTTTATACGAACGCATTATCGAACATGTAACATATTCTTCTTAAGTCCACTATAACTCTGAGTGGATATGATGAAGTGTAGCTGCTAATTTCCAGACGAGGACGAGCTAATATTCGATATTAGCTTCAGATCTATCTGAAGTGTTTCGATCAAATCACAAGCTAGCGACAGTCCCTTTGGCGAAGGTGTAATTCCAGATTACTTATACTTGTGAGAGCTATATTAAATGCAGCCCGGGCTTATTTTACCAAAATGTCCGAGAAATAGTAGAATTATAATGAGACGTATCCTATTTTAGCATCTTGCGCACAGCGCGCTTGTACTCAGATAAAGATAACAAACGAGCTAGCCGAATAAAAAATTAGCGAAGATATAAATGCAGATGTGTTAATCGTAAGTATTACTGTCTTTTGTGCGATAAGATTAGCTGACGTTTTTCCAGATACCTATTGTGTGAACCCAGACCTCCCTTGGTCTGGGTCGGTCGCGACCCTAACCAGAGGGCATTAGATTCCATCAAATACACATGACTTCATTAGCTATTACACTGAATGGTTTTATGATGACTGTGAAGCTAACAAGGATTATATCGTCTAGAGAAAAAAAAAAAAGTAACATGAAACTTGTGCTTACGTAATACTGATGAGCGCAGCGGCCTTATTCACATACGACCTATCCTAACGCACGATCTAATTATGCGATAATGAGATACGTTCCAAACATTTTCTTTTTTTTTAATGCTCTTTATTGTTTATCCTATGACGGACTGTTTCAAAAAGTTATTTCCAGACGTGTCACGGATTACCACGCTATGACAGGAAAAAAATCTATTTCCTCCCTCTAAATAGTTATGCCCCATGAATAGATGGCGGAGTACAAACCGATAAGCAGCGTAATGGGATTAGATCAATTAAACCTTCAAAAAAAGTTAGTCTGTTTTGCTCCATTGCGGTAATTAATACAGCCCAACTAATCGACCTTCGTCCTGAAATCGAAACTATCTGAGATCGCAATTTCAGGATCTTTATTTACGCCTGTATTCATGCAATCCCACCATCTTTGTCTTGATATCTTGGTAGAAATATGAAAAATAAGGATATAATAATAATATGAACTGTGAAGGCAAGATCCTTGTTTGAATACGTGGGATAAGACACGGTACCTTATTGCAAGAACTCGGTGTCCTAGGGAAACACTCATTCGAATACATTCATCATACAGCTGCAAGCACGGTAATGAATTAGAAAATTCGAAAAAAATTGGTTCTGCAGTCGTGGATAAGTTGTAGCAGATTTATATTTGCTTTGTAGCTTTATTACATACGTGCCATAATAAATATGCCCTGTGTTTCTCTATTTTATATGTGACGCTGATTCTTCCCGGCATGTACTGCCATACATGTTAAAAACAGCACATAACATCCCGTTTCTAAAAAAAAAATTGGGTTGGGGGATAACTTTTTTTCTACAAGTGCACTTTTGAAAAAAAAGATAGGAAAAATTAATTTTTTTTTGTATCGCTAACACATCTCACGTTAGACGTTAGGATCGAAACAACTTGTAAGGGTGCTATGATGATATATTTGTCTACTAAGCTTGAAGACCCGTGTCGCGGTCTGAGCTCAAGATGGGCATCGATATTTCCTATAAGGAATTGATCATATCTTTGTTCAAGTAAGAGTCATGGGTCACGTTCGTTTCTTCTGAACATGTTCACACAAGAATAGGCGCTAATGATATCTCATTATTTTACCCTTATACGTACAATGGTACTTGGAACGTGTCGATACCAAACGAAACATGGAACTCAGGGCTGGGACCATATAAGACTTTGCCATGTTTACCAGTAGTCGGAGCCGTCCCTAATCTAATCTGCTGATCTTTTCACCTGCTGTAAACTGTCAAAGAAATACTTGTATTACATGTTAGTGAAATGGGTCCGTAAAGAAAAGTCACTCGCTATTCGATAACAATAATAATGCTCCAGATGCGTTGGGCCAAATCCTTTCGGTGAACTTGTGATAACGTTGCTTTAGCTGAAGTTTAACCGGAGAGTACGATTCTGGTGGCGTCGCGATCCGTTACTTTGGTACGATGAACCGACTCAATAAAGCTCTGAAGTTTTTATGATTACTACATGTTGTCAAAACGCAACTTGAGTTCAACAGCAAGTAATTTTGAAACTAACGCAAACCATAAAATCAACAGTGTCCAGAAATTAATACATTCTAACGCAAAACCACCACAGTGAAGCAAAGTCGAATTTTTAATAGACAACTTTTACTCCAATTCAATACACATCGATAGAAACCGTCTATGCGTACTACAACTCAGATACTCGTAGTTTCATATCCGTTTAAAACTGCAAATGGGCGCTTTTCAACAAAGCAGAAGCTTTCAATGCCCGACTCTGGGCTTCATTGTAACCCGCAGTGAAGACACGCAAGGTCCACACTTTTCACAAACACCACTTATAGAAGCTAACCTTTCAAACTGAAGTACATGAGCCTGCCGTAAGATAACATTTCGACCTCTCCATCCTACGATCCACTCGAACACCACGAAACCGATAGGACGATAGGAAACGTGCCATTAGGATATCTGCTTTTACTACGTACGTAAGCTAGCTTCTGAGTCAAGAGAAGACAAACAAACAAATGCTATTCCGCCGAGAGACTTAATTATCCTGGCACTAATACATCAAAATTTGAATTATCACATTTAGAGAACTGTCAAATCGATCACACAAATATTTAGGTCTATCAAATTTACAAAGGTCCAATAACTAAAGATTCGGGCATATACATTTGCCTTTCTGTGAGGGCACAGCATCTGAACTAATAGCTCTACTGGGCTTATGCTTTTTAGCAAGCTTTCCTTAGGAAGCCTTCCTCCTTTAGGTCTGGGCTAGGCCCTCTGCTCAGGCGGATAATGTATTTTACCGTCACTCTCTCTGCACATGAAATAGGAGAACCTAAGTTCCCCAATGCAAATTTTAAGGGCCAATTCAGAAAAATGCCAGCCGCCATCAACTAGGTCAGTGTTTAGCGTGGCCGGACTCTTCCGTTGCCTAAAACCATCGTTCAAACGGATCCTGTAAATAGTTTTTCGTCCTGGAGACTGAGTATATCAAAACGGCTTGTCCTCTAAGTATATAAAAGATAACTGATGTGATGTCCAAAACAGAGACCTTTGAATAATTGTGTAGTTTACGTTTTGTGGATATTACACCATAACAATGTCTTTGCAATGTTTCTAATGTCTGTCCTCTGGCAACACGTGGGCGTGCTTAAATCTGTTCTACTCATTCGGCGTTTACTGTTTATACGTACACTCAGTGCATGAATATTGCGAAGTCAGCTCGTTGCTGAAACACCTATGATCGTGTTGATTACTTTTTTGTCCTGTAAAAACACGCCAATGTCGAACTAACACCAAAGCACACAGTGTGCATTCATTGTACATATGCGCATACCCCCTAGCACTCTACTTCTCGTCACTTACTATACATTTTCTACAAAGGAATGAATACACGTTTAAAGCATTTTGGTGTCTATGCGGAAGAACTAGAAAATAAAATGCAAATTTATTTGCTTTTAAAGATACAAACCGTTAGCTCTACGGCCGTCTCAACTGTTTCAAGCAGGCTCATAGCGGATTAACGCACATAGTTCCAGCTGTCTACTGCGACCGGTCCGGTAATCCGCTACAAGACGCACCCAAGCCAGGCCAGCTTCGGTCAATTTTGGGCCTACGCACTCTCGTCTCGCTACTACGAGAGGCTAATCCTACCGTTACTTATAATCAATTCATTGTTATTACTGTATTGTTTTTGTGATTTCCTCGTTAGCTAGCTAAAGCGAACAGAAGAAAGGCGGGGAGTCGCAAGCATGCTTCAACTCATTCAAGTTGCACCTGTTTTGTTTGCGGAATGTATTGCAATTTGTTCTTCGTTACCACTTTTGTCCTCCATTTTCTCGCGTTTTTATGTTGAATCAAGTTCACAAAATAGAAAGAAAAATTTGTGACAAGTTATATATTTGTTGTATATAGAAAAATGTGACCTAGCCTTGTTCGCGTCAGATTCGTCACGTTGTTTTCGCCCCTCTATCTAACCCTGACACAGTTCCACTTATTGATTCTCCGGTTCGGCTTGCATCTAGCGAACGTCACGCAGGAGGCGACATAAGGGATACAGGTCGAATGGTATGGTAGGCGCAACTTTGGGCGTATGCTAGGACACTTAGGCATTTTCGAGTTCATCGTCATCAAATTCGGCCTCATCGTCGGCCGTTGCCTCTTGATATTGTTGGTACTCCGACACCAGGTCGTTCATGTTCGACTCGGCTTCCGTGAACTCCATCTCGTCCATACCTGGCGCAGTTGAAAACATTGAATACATTTCATTATTCAATTCATTATACAATAAAAGTGCAAACTGTTCGTGTTTCCACTTTTATCCATGGGGCTTGTGGCACCGTTAGACGTATCACATTAAATAGAGCCATCAACAAAGAAGGCGAGAACGCACCTAACAGTGTGTGTAATGTTGACAGATAGTTGGTATTGTCGTTACATAACTGCAGACTGCGAGTTCGCACTAGTGGCAAATCTATTAAATATGAAAAAAATACATATATATGAATGCACACCTTCGCCGGTGTACCAATGGAGGAAAGCCTTTCTACGGAACATCGCCGTGAATTGCTCGGAAATCCTCTTGAAGAGCTCCTGTATAGCGGTAGAATTTCCGATAAATGTGGCGGCCATTTTCAAGCCTCGTGGGGCGATGTCGCATACAGCTGTCTTCACGTTATTTGGGATCCATTCCACAAAGTAAGATGAATTTTTGTTTTGTACATTTAACATTTGTTCGTCCTGAAATGGCCGTAGCAACACGAAGGTAGTAAACATTGTATACTGCTGCTACCTTTTTGGTGGACCGTTCGATCGTTATTTGCAAACTAGTTTCATTTAAACTTTAGCTGCTGTCTAGGTCGTCCGAAAAGTGTAAGGTACGCGAAATCCCGCAACGACCACTTATCCGTGATAAAATTAAAATCTATAACTTAAATAAGCTTGATGATCGATCACTCCGGAGTTTCGGAACGGCCATTGAAATATGCTCAAAAAAGGACTGCGTCCTAATGTCGGTTTTTTCTGCAAAAATTGCTTCTTGATTTATAGTAGACATAGCTGTTTACCGTTACGTAGAGGAAAAAAGACTCTGAAAATTGTACTAATAGCGCATATCTCTCATACTGGATGTGTAATTAGAGTTCGATCTGCTTTACACTGCGTTGCTTTATAAGGACGTAAGGATTTTTGGGCCAAACACCGTGCGAATTGTTGGTAACAAAGTTTTCCCGGGTTCCAGTAGATGGCAGCAGTTCTAGCTTTAATTAAAGCTGAACCGTTTAATAACCTCGTCCGCTACGTATATAATCAAGAACATTCTGCGACCACCATTAATAGCTACGGGGTGGTAATGGCAAAAATAAGTCAGCCAAACTATTGCCCGTAAAATGCGACCCAACCACGTGGCTAAATATAGTCATAAGATTAGATTGTCTTACTGACCACTTCTTTCATACTCATACGACCACGGAAAATAGTCGCCACGGTGAGGTAGCGCCCATGGCGCGGGTCGCAAGCGGCCATCATGTTCTGAAAAAATCAACAAACATTTGAACAAAATTATCGTTCTAGTAAAAACAAGCAATTGTGTTCTGAACCGTATTTTCGACACAAAAAAAATGATTTCTAAGAAATCTACTAGGACACGTCTGTTATTTGGTAAAGTTCAGAAGCTCGAAATGTACATATATGCTTATTAAATCTTTGTATATACTGAAAGCATCGGCTGCCTAGTATGCAGCAGCGGTAGAATATAACGATCGTTACCTTGGCGTCGAACATCTGTTGGGTGAGCTCAGGCACGGTGAGTGCGCGATATTGCTGCGAGCCACGGGCCGTCAGGGGCGCAAAGCCAGGCATGAAGAAATGAAGCCTGTAATATATATTTATATATGTTACAATAAGATAACCTAATATGCGCCAATAGCCTGACCTGAGTTAGGTTTAAGAGTGATTTCATCACACACGGGAATCGCTTTGCTTTCCCTTTGTGCCCTAATATAAAAATAACATTGCTCGTTTAGATAACTGCATATACAGTAAAGGTGCCCACAGTAAAAAGAAACCATTCTCTTTTTTCGAAAATAGTGGAAACGTATTGAATTGTTTGAAGAAAGCCATATATTTACTCGTTAGCCGTCTAATGCTATCAACAACGAGTAAACAGACAGACGAAAACCCACCGAGGGAACGGTACCATGTTGACAGCGAGTTTACGTAAATCGGCGTTAAGCTGTCCAGGGAAACGTAGGCAGGTGGTCACCCCCGACATGGTTACTGATACGAGATGGTTCAGGTCCCCGTAGGTGGGTGTAGTGAGCTTGAGAGTTCGGAAACAAATATCGTACAGGGCCTCGTTGTCGATGCAATAAGTTTCATCAGTATTCTCAACCAATTGATGAACTGACAGCGTTGCGTTGTAGGGTTCCACAACAGTGTCTGACACCTGAAAATCATCACTATCATCGATGGACCAGTGCCTAAGAGGATAGCTGCTGTATATACTACGACCAGTTAATAAAACGTGAGGAACACTTAGTAGCATAATCAAGCCTCTATTAGTAACAAGTAAAGTGTGTTTTTTGCGTACACTTCCTTGGCGGAACTAAATTGGGATAAACTACTCTTGTGAAGATTATGTGGAGTTGTGTTCCACGCACCACAAGTGCATCTCCTGAAATATTACATAGGACTAAAGGAAAAGCCAGGCTCAGCCTATTCCAGGTAAATGAGAAGGATCTTCTATGCGAAATAGTTTAGGTATGCACGAGCTATTTGACCTTCTATTTTGAGATCCAATCGTTGGACAAAAATGTATTTCCTTCTAGTAATTCCACAAGTCACGAACCAGTATTCTATAATATTGATTTGTATGTTGTTGACCTTGAAGATTGTGGTAACACTAAGCTGCTATTTTCGAAACGACCTTTGACAGTCCCTGAAATGCACGCACCTTGGGTGAAGGCATGACTGAGAAAGTGTTCATAATTCGATCGGGATACTCCTCGCGGATCTTTGAAATCAGCAAGGTTCCCATACCCGAACCAGTGCCTCCTCCCAAAGAGTGTGCGAGCTGAAATCCCTGCAGACAGTCACAGGATTCTGATTCTTTACGCACAACGTCGAGGACAGAGTCTACAAGTTCAGCTCCTAGAACACAGTAACGTATACAACAACTATAATCAGTCGGAATCGACTGAGATAGTACAAATTCAACTTTTTCACTATAATTAATCAAGAGCAATTATATATGAGAGGACATTTAAGAGTCTTTTAAATAAAATACGGCACTGTGTTAACTCAACAACTTTCAGCTTTCTCTACCCCATTTAATCCAACCCTATCCGCGTTGCTGCGTCTTGATTTATGAACGACAACACATATTGTTGGTCCATTAAAACAGAACAGTTCGGAATAACAGCTTCCGACGAATTATTTATTTTATTAAGAATTATGACACTAGGAAGCTGTGATTTGTGGATTGAATGGATTCGTGGTAAGGGATACAAACGTATTGCAATGCAATGAGGCCACTCTCTAAATAGCCCATGGCTGTTCCTGCAAGGTCAAGGTGTATTACAAGATTTACGCTAAATTGGCGTAGCTACAAGGTAAAAGTTCGCTTAAGATTTACGCTAAATTGGCATAGCTACAAGGTAAAAGTGCGCTTAAGATTTACGCTAAATTGGCATAGCTACAAGGTAAAAGTGCGCTTAAGATTTACGCTAAATTGGCATAGCTACAAGGTAAAAGTGCGCTTAAGATTTACGCTAAATTGGCATAGCTACAAGGTAAAAGTGCGCTTCTATGCATAGCAAAGGTTAATGCATTTTTGGCCACGATAATACTACGCTATTATACGTATAGATACACTGCCGTTGAAGGATGAACCGGCATTGCTTCTATGTTGAAGCCAGCCTGTAACCATGAAATATGACTAGAGCTACTCGAGAACGATCAATATCATTTATTGGGTAGAAACATTCAGAATCATGGAATGGTTATATCTGGCCCCCTTCCGGGCGTAAACGAAATATAAAGCCACAAGAAAAAACGGATGCAGACAAAAAAAAAAGAACATCATTTCCCTAGTCTTTAATCTATACCTGTAATGGTAGTGGAGATTAGTTTCACAACTTAGCCATGCTAGCGCCTTCCTAGACATATGACAATAGGCATTGTTTTTTATTTTCATAACGTACGTTCATTGATAAACTACTTTGCTTATCATACCTTCAGTGTAGTGTCCCTTAGCCCAATTATTTCCAGCACCACTCTGACCAAAAATAAAGTTATCGGGCCTAAAAAGTTGTCCGAAAGGTCCGGATCGAACCGAATCCATCGTTCCGGGTTCGAGATCTAGTAAAATCGCACGGGGCACATATTTCCCACCTAGAAAGAGACAAAAACAATATGGCTACTATCGTTACGCGTCACTAATGCAATAGCCAAATGCTTATTTTCTAATAAAGCGGCAACAATAAAAAGTGTAATTAAATTAAAACATAGACGTCTACCAACAACTCGTTGTCAAAAAAAGGCACGCTGATCAACTTATTTGCGGCTTCATATTGTCAGTACGTGGCAATAACATCTAATAAAAGGATGTCCGAATGAAAGGCCTTCTAGTACATAGCGGCCAGGACGGCGGTTAAATCGTAAATTTGTAAACCTTACAATGCGAGTAATATCCATCGGCAATATGGACAACTAGAAATGGGGGTTTAATATAGGTCAACGGTGTCTTACTACAACTATTGAAATGCGAATGTATGTCAAATATAAATCAGACGGATCTAAAACTATTCGTTTACTAAAAAGTAGTAGATGCTTAGAAACATTCAGGCTTATGTCCGGCCGTTCCATGCCTCATTTATATGGGATGCACCTCGTTAACAATAAAAGCTATGTTGCCTAATTTTTTTTTATCTATAATGTTTTCGAATTGATCCCGGCTTCGCTTCAACGATTTTTGTCACAGGCCACTTTACTCAGTGCTTCGTCGCTTAATTCCGCCGCAAGCGTTATTAAACGAACATTCTTTTCTTAAGACACCAAGGCCCACTTATAATAACAAATTGAATCTTCGTTTTTATTCTAGATTAATAAATACTTCCTGGGTCAGCGTCTGTACCCATTAAATCGAGTAAGTTAATAGGGACTCTAAGGAGCTCTTCTCACCATAAAATATTCCTTTTGGATAACGCCATGGTGGCTCAGAGAGACGACTCTTTAAGCTGTCTTCTATTGGCCAGATGCCCTGATACAATTTGTATCACTGACACAGGCATATCTGCGCTACTTGGCTGATCAATACGGCCCAGCGCCCCAAGCGGTTGTCACTAAAGTTAAGGGGAGAGCTAAAAGCCAGCGCCTGCTCCCAGCCAGTTTTCGGGGGTGTCTCGAGGGGGGGCACAGTGACCCAAATCCACCCAGACAGCTCTAGAAGAGCTAAATGATAATCTGAACTCGATCAGAACAAAAGGCTTAATGCCGCTGGCACCAGTGCGTTGACATTCATCATTGCCTCAACTTGGCCTGACCGCTTGAGGCTTACTGGGTTCCTACTTACAGACTTAGCAAAGACTGAGACGGGATGCAGTCGAGATGACTTCTGATTATTGAGCGCTGTTGAAGTTAAATGCCATAGAAACAATAAGTGACTAATTCGCTAGCTTCTATCATACTTGAAGCGTAGCGAATTTCAAAAAGGCGCAGTTGTTTCATTATTGATATCGATCATTCATTAAGAGATAGAGTCTCGTGGCGCATCGAAACAAACATGTACGATTGAAAGTTTGATTCGTTACACGTACAGGTTGTAAATTTAATTAAACTTCTTTAATTGACAGTAATTTTGTCTAAAGGGTCAGCGTGACAGAACAGGCATGAAAGACAGCAATGAAACATACTATCGCGAATTAGTCAGATCCAATTTATAAATTTCATAAAATATATACCGTAACATTCTGATTCGGATTGTGCTGAATCATGACGTGGTACGCGATTAAAAAATAACGCAAAGCAACGATTATCCCTATAAAGCCTTTGTCGTGGCTGGGTAATGCAAGTGCTTAGCGAACTTACGCTAAACGTAATGTACGTTGATGATCGAATACTTCAACTTGGTAGTATAACCATGAAACATCATTTAGAGTAGACGACGACGCTGACGACCTCTTTTCATACTTGTAACTTTTCATACTATGTGGGCATAAATGTAAGTTTTGGTTTTATGATTCAATGACGAACACAAGACATTAAATACCTGTTGCTTCGTTGTAATAAACGTTAATCCTTTCAAGCTGAAGGTCCGAATCGCCATTATAAGCTCCTGAGGGGTCGATACCGTGCTCATCGGAGATCACCTCCCAAAACTGTAAAAAGAGATAAAAAATAATTTAATTTTAAACAATTTCTGGGTCACAATGCAGCTCGTGTCGATACACTCTTTATAATGCATGTGTTGAATAATATCGACCCATATTTAACTCAAGGACCAGGTTTTTCAGTTTCAAATAGTTCATAATTTGATCCATTACAGCGGAAACCATTATCAATATACGGGCAAGGAGTCAATTCTCCTTCTCTAACACTCGGTGACAATTTCCCGTTACTGTGAATGAGATACGAACGAGTGCCGAAAGCATTCCTACTTTCGTCTACAAAGGAAAGGTTTTTCAGGCAGGATTCTTGAAAATCTCGGCAGACTTGCATAGGTGGCATTGGACTGATACCTGGCACCGTTCAATAACGTGTTCCAAAGCGATCTGTATGCTCTTCAAATTATATCGTTATAT